TTCGCTATTCGCTGTTCGCTATTCGCTGTTCGCTATTCGCTGTTCGCTATTCGCTGTTCGCTATTCGCTGTTCGCTATTCGCGACTATTCGCTATTCGCTATTCGGGTTTTCCAGACACCCCATCTTGAAACACACGTCTCTGTTACTGATCAGCCGATCTCTGAACGAACGCCATGAAAGGAAGAAATTTTTCTTTTAATAAGTTTTATATTTTACTCGATTGAGACTGTTCATAGAGGTCATTGAGTATGCAAGCTTTCAATGTAACTTTGTTTTGTGAGCGTTTTTGTTCTTCACACAATTTGAGTGCGTTCAACGCTCACATATTCGGGTATTGCTTAATTTTTTCGGGCAAGAAGGTCTCCGCCCCCACCCCCCAAGTCCGAAGGTGCTCGTACGCCTATGCCAAGGGGTTTAGCGCTTTAATGGTACCTTAATCCTTCTCTATCATAGTGCTTGAAATCTTGGGTAACAAATCTGCACTGAGTGATTAGCCATTTATGGAGTATTATACTAAAAATGCAGCGGATCGGTTAGCGGCGAGAATCTTTGCTGAACGAGAAAGAGCCATACGTAGTTCTGCCCTGATCCGTAATGAGCGCTGCAGAATGAGTAGTAAAAAAGGAAATTATTAGAGGCATTTTACTATTTTACATGACTGACATCGGCTATATGGTTTTTTTCCCCTACAGGGACATTACGGAAAAAAGCCAAAAGAGAAAATGCGTTAGCAGAGAAAAAAATTTTCAACATCTGTAAGTATATTAGATCTGCAAGAGACGTGAGGTTATCAGATTCTGCGCGCTGTGAAACTTTCGTTGAAACGTGGAATAGTGAGATTGTGTGCAGCATTTACATGAGTGAACTTTTTGTCGTTGTAGAAATGGTTTTTACACGCTGTCATCAATTGGTTTCCATCATCTTTTTCAGCAATCGTCTTGACGCATTACAAACTGAAGGCAGAAGAAGTAGCGCAATGTCTAACAACTGGTACTTCTCACTTGACATCCGATGTGCTTAGACAATTATTGGCATTTGCCCCAGATGATAGAGAGGTACACATACCTTCACTGAATTCAAACAACAAATGTGTATTTTGAATTGAATGAAGCTTAGGTTTTTGTCAGTGAGTTGTGGTAAAAGTTGAAGTACAAGTTGAAGCTTCCTTAGGTCAGAAATTAATTAAAGATCTTGTCAGCTGGCGGCGGTATTCTTCATTTACTCTTTTATAGAATCGAAGTTGTTCAATACTTAGGAAAATGTTTCCCTGGAAGAAAGTTCCTTGAATTGAGCGGTTGATAAGAAGATGGTATCGCGCGGATGTTTTATTTTTCGGGGAGTAGGGGAGACGTTGAGAGATACTGATCATTGTTTTTAGGAATTTTTTGTCGTTTTTTTAGGCAAGAGCTTTAAGAAAACGGGAACGGGAAAACGAATCTTCACTGGAACCAGCTGAGCGCTTCTATCTTCAGGTATTGTAGTGTAAACCAAATTGTTTGTAATGTTTCCAGGCCAAGACGAAACTGTATCTGACAACTTGCATTGCTAGAGCTAGAGGTTATTATGTTAAGCAACAGTGCAGGTGTATAATGAGCTATATGAACTCACAAGTACATTTCTCTTTGCAGATTGCATCTTCGGTGTCTTCTTATAAAGAAAGACTTCGTACAGTACTGCTCAAGGCCCAGTTCCAAGAAAGGATCGCGCAAATAAAACCAGTAAGAAATTCAACAAAGAAAAAGTTAAGCTATTCATAAATAACAAAAAAATGTTAATGATTGTGATGACGATGACGATGATGACGATGATGATGATGGTGACGACAAAGAAGATGCCCCCCCTGCTGTTCTGACCACGTCCACGCCAATAAGCAAAGTTTCTTTTATCCCATTGCCTCACAGATATCGGTGTACAGTCTAAGTATTATACGCTTATCTTCGTAACCCCAGGACACATGACTACCTGAGACTCAATGTAAAAAACGTTCCACAACTGATGACGTAATTCTACAGAGATCCATGTAATGTCTCCGATTGGCCTGTTTCCATAGAATTAAAATTCCAAACCGAGTAGCCAACTGATCAGATACTGATCAGATAACTGTAGAAGGTCTGGGCATGGCTTTACTGATAGGCCTGCCATGAGAATATACCTTTCCCAAATTCCACTTCAATGCATACGTATGATCAATATAATATTGGGCGGATATTTTCATACGTTTGCTGTATTTTTGTGAACCCTGACCTCGACTAGACGCTGTTGTTTGTTGGAATGCGGGAAAAGTCAATTGGTCAAAATTTTAACTATGAAATTCTGAAACCTGCAAAATGTACTGATAGCTGAAAAATAGGCTAAAAATTTAGGATACCTGAGACTCTACCTACCCCAACTAAACTCTCAAGACAGCCATCTGTTGCATGTTAGTTAAGAGCCAAGTAATCGTACCTAGAATTGTATTTATTTATTTATTTATTTATTTATTTATTTTTGTTTTTCAGCATCTTGAAACAGTCATTACCGCTTGCCAGGAACTCATGTCCAGTGAAAAGCTTGCAACCTTTATTGAGGTATGAGGAAATTGAGCAAGTCTATCCACCACATATTTAACAGATACTGTACCAAAATGATTTCACTACTGAACAGACTATATTTTGGTCTGCCCATAGCTTGTCCTCACAATGGGAAACATAATGAATGGAAGCGACACTTGTGCTTTTAAGATAACGTTTGTTACAAAGGTAAGTGTAAGAGATGTGGTATATATTAGATATAATGTCTTGCTCCTCTTATCACGTTGCCCGGGCAATTAAATCCTTCTGGGTCGAATGTCACTGTCCGTTGAAAGCAAAGTTTCTTGGCCGAGAATACAACACAGTGATCGAAACAGGACAACAACAACAACAACAACAATAATAACAACAACAACAAACTTTATTCGCTCTTGTACTTACATTTCTTATATATCTGACCGACACACATGCACACTTAATGGACCACTTGTTCCAGAATGCAACACACTAATTAAGGGCGGACGGGCGCTATACGCTGATTGTGACTCAGTGTTTTAGAAATCGGCGAGACAGAACAGAATAGGGCGTTGTGTTCTTGCAAAAGACCTGTCACTCTTAAATTACCTCTCTCCGCCCTAGCTGGAGCAAACACGATCGAGTGCCAGGAAACGGTGAGAGGTTGCATACTAGAAAGGGCGCAGCATCTGCAAATCTCGTTTGAGCCGGAGCGTTGGCATGGTTATCTCACGTTCTTTCTTCCCTCTCCCTTCTTCTTCCCTTCCCAGTACCCCCATGTAGGGTATCTGTATTTGTGTTGCTTATTTTGCAAATGTTCCAACTACGTTTGTCGAAGCGCTACTGTTGCAGTCTTCCCTTGTTTACTGAGAAACCGTTGTTAAATTGTTGTTGTGGCTTAGCCGCTCTTCAAGACAGCCAGATCCAAATACGCTCTTCCGATGTTAAACTTCCGGCGGCGAGGAACCCATATAAAAAGGATTGGTGTCCGTGGGAAATTTTGAAAAGAGCACCTAAGAGGTACCAAGTTCTTGCTTTGTGGGCGTGGCTTGAAATGTTTTTTCACCCCCTAAGAGGTACCAATTCTAAAATAACACATTATCTCTGTCGTATTTTTTTCGGCTCAGTACCCTGAAAGTTGCTGCAAAAGCTTCCACTGTGGACCTTTTGAGGCTGAACACCCTAGAATTACCAAAACCGTGTTTTTAACCCTAAAAGTACGACGAGCAGCCCCGTTCTTTGTATATGTGAGTCCTCGGGGTTAAGTTCCTTCAATAACACTTTGTTTCTTTTCTCTTTGCCCAGCTGATGGATTATAAATCATCGGTGAACAAAGCCACTTCAGTGTTAGACTATCTTACTAGGGTTATCATCACCAAATGTCCAAACATTGCGGCATTACAGGATGATCTTAAACACGTGGGACAGGCATCGCAAGGTCCGTACATGTAAATTTGTAGTATTGAAGTCATTCCACAACGATCATATTTATTTAGGAAACAAAAATTCAACTTAGGCAAATAATACAACCAAACAAGATGACAAACAATAAGTGACAAATCAAACTTGAATGTAAAAACATGTCTCGTAATTGAAGGATCGCTGACGTTAGTTCATTTTCCATTTCAACGTTACTATCTATGTATAATTTGATTTCAGTTCCATTCAGGTCACTAGACAAGGAAATATGCGAGCTGTCCACTGAAATCGAGGTGAGGAAGGTTTAAACATTTCAGCGCAATGAATACAGTCACGTGTACCATTACTCCAAATATGGCATGTGTTGGATGCCTTTCACGCATTTTATGAACTCTGCTTTTACGTAACCTGATTTCAAATACTGCTTCTGTTAGGTTCTGGAAGAAGATGTTGAGAAAATAAATAATGACTGCGTAAAAGAGGATGGAGACTCTTTCCGCGCCAGTATCGAAGTATCCTTTTGAATTTGCGTTACTGATTAGAACTGCATGAGTACCCGTGCATTATAGGCAGTGCGCGCTTGCAGTTTTCCGCGCGTCAAGACAAGTGTATCGTAGTGTCTGCAAACGCATTTTACAATTTTTTTGTCTGCACAAGTCCGGTGATTATTTACGGTCATCATTTCTGCCTGTCTATACGGGAAAGATACGCTTAAATAGCTATCAAACGACGGGACGAGATGCAAACTGTGGTAGGGGGCTTTCGTAATGTAGACTATAGCATCGAAGACGGCGCTTAGTAAATATTGCCGAATATTGAATATATCTACATTTTGTACCTGCGACGCGATCTGTTCAGTGGGCAGTCGGTCTAAAAACCCTGGTGCTTAATCTAGATATCCCATGCTAGTGATCAATTCCAGTAGGAAATACTTAACATTAGCCGCCGTGGCCCGCGTTCTCCAAAAGACGCAGAATTTGGCCATTTTACGTTGTTGCATGTTGTCTTACGGAGAACAGTTATTAAATATACAAAGATTTAAAACGCACGTGAAAAACGTGCGTTTTATGTTTCAGACGAATTAAACTGTTTTTCGCGTACACCCGGGGATATAGTCTTAATTTTCCTAGAAGTACTGATCACGATTGTAAGATTCTTGAGAGACCAATGAAACATTAAGGTGTTGTAATCGAGTCATAGCGAAATTCTTAACAAACGTTTTAGCTGTTTGCTGTCTCCGCAAAAGAAGAGCTTAGAGACGTGTTGTCAATGCGGAAGAATGCAAAAAAGAAGTTCAACCTCCTTGTCCAGTATTTCGGAGAGGATTCCAACAAACCTGAAGAGTTCTTTGGTATTTTTGCCACATTGCTACACCAATTTGAGGTAAATTGTACGTTGTGTATTCAATTTAAAATAGGCAATGTCGTTTCCTGGCAACATGAATCGTCTCACGACTTTCTTCTTTTCGAAAATTCATATCAAGTTGTCAGTTAATTTAACTGGAACTGAAGCTAGCAGTAGAGGCTATTAATCCGACCATCAACAGTTTGCCAAGGCGTGTTTACGTCAGTACCAAAAAGACTAATCAAGTGGAAGATATATCTGAATACTGTTTTACCCGTGACTAAATATTTATTCATTTGTTGTTTTAGGATGTGTTGAGGACATACAAGTGAAGAAACGAGTTTTAAATGAAGAGATCAGGCAATGGACGTTAATTATATTAAAACGCGGACTGTAATTTTTTCTAACCTGAAACTTGAAATTGAGCAGTTGGTTTAAAATCGGGTTAGACCCAACAGCTCTATCTCTCTCAAAAACCATTCACGATGCCATCTTCGATTTTGAAATATAACAATATTTTTATTATTCCTTACGTACGCATGACATATTTTGACACGTAATAAAAGAAGCAACTATTTTATTCTATAAGATGAAACGATATTTATGGCCAAGAAGTCAACATTCAAAGATTGTTAATTTTGTAAATACGTTGAAAATAAAGGCCGAGCTACTATAAGAGGACTTTGCACGTCATGTCTCTCCTTATAAATAAATCAGTTTGAATTTCAGGCGTGCTAAGAGTACGGACCATTAAACGTTTTTGGGTGAATTGCCCACCCCCCTAACACTGACCCACCCCCTCTCAAAAAATAATGATCCGTCCCTAAATCTAAATCCAAANATTTAACAGATACTGTACCAAAATGATTTCACTACTGAACAGACTATATTTTGGTCTGCCCATAGCTTGTCCTCACAATGGGAAACATAATGAATGGAAGCGACACTTGTGCTTTTAAGATAACGTTTGTTACAAAGGTAAGTGTAAGAGATGTGGTATATATTAGATATAATGTCTTGCTCCTCTTATCACGTTGCCCGGGCAATTAAATCCTTCTGGGTCGAATGTCACTGTCCGTTGAAAGCAAAGTTTCTTGGCCGAGAATACAACACAGTGATCGAAACAGGACAACAACAACAACAACAACAATAATAACAACAACAACAAACTTTATTCGCTCTTGTACTTACATTTCTTATATATCTGACCGACACACATGCACACTTAATGGACCACTTGTTCCAGAATGCAACACACTAATTAAGGGCGGACGGGCGCTATACGCTGATTGTGACTCAGTGTTTTAGAAATCGGCGAGACAGAACAGAATAGGGCGTTGTGTTCTTGCAAAAGACCTGTCACTCTTAAATTACCTCTCTCCGCCCTAGCTGGAGCAAACACGATCGAGTGCCAGGAAACGGTGAGAGGTTGCATACTAGAAAGGGCGCAGCATCTGCAAATCTCGTTTGAGCCGGAGCGTTGGCATGGTTATCTCACGTTCTTTCTTCCCTCTCCCTTCTTCTTCCCTTCCCAGTACCCCCATGTAGGGTATCTGTATTTGTGTTGCTTATTTTGCAAATGTTCCAACTACGTTTGTCGAAGCGCTACTGTTGCAGTCTTCCCTTGTTTACTGAGAAACCGTTGTTAAATTGTTGTTGTGGCTTAGCCGCTCTTCAAGACAGCCAGATCCAAATACGCTCTTCCGATGTTAAACTTCCGGCGGCGAGGAACCCATATAAAAAGGATTGGTGTCCGTGGGAAATTTTGAAAAGAGCACCTAAGAGGTACCAAGTTCTTGCTTTGTGGGCGTGGCTTGAAATGTTTTTTCACCCCCTAAGAGGTACCAATTCTAAAATAACACATTATCTCTGTCGTATTTTTTTCGGCTCAGTACCCTGAAAGTTGCTGCAAAAGCTTCCACTGTGGACCTTTTGAGGCTGAACACCCTAGAATTACCAAAACCGTGTTTTTAACCCTAAAAGTACGACGAGCAGCCCCGTTCTTTGTATATGTGAGTCCTCGGGGTTAAGTTCCTTCAATAACACTTTGTTTCTTTTCTCTTTGCCCAGCTGATGGATTATAAATCATCGGTGAACAAAGCCACTTCAGTGTTAGACTATCTTACTAGGGTTATCATCACCAAATGTCCAAACATTGCGGCATTACAGGATGATCTTAAACACGTGGGACAGGCATCGCAAGGTCCGTACATGTAAATTTGTAGTATTGAAGTCATTCCACAACGATCATATTTATTTAGGAAACAAAAATTCAACTTAGGCAAATAATACAACCAAACAAGATGACAAACAATAAGTGACAAATCAAACTTGAATGTAAAAACATGTCTCGTAATTGAAGGATCGCTGACGTTAGTTCATTTTCCATTTCAACGTTACTATCTATGTATAATTTGATTTCAGTTCCATTCAGGTCACTAGACAAGGAAATATGCGAGCTGTCCACTGAAATCGAGGTGAGGAAGGTTTAAACATTTCAGCGCAATGAATACAGTCACGTGTACCATTACTCCAAATATGGCATGTGTTGGATGCCTTTCACGCATTTTATGAACTCTGCTTTTACGTAACCTGATTTCAAATACTGCTTCTGTTAGGTTCTGGAAGAAGATGTTGAGAAAATAAATAATGACTGCGTAAAAGAGGATGGAGACTCTTTCCGCGCCAGTATCGAAGTATCCTTTTGAATTTGCGTTACTGATTAGAACTGCATGAGTACCCGTGCATTATAGGCAGTGCGCGCTTGCAGTTTTCCGCGCGTCAAGACAAGTGTATCGTAGTGTCTGCAAACGCATTTTACAATTTTTTTGTCTGCACAAGTCCGGTGATTATTTACGGTCATCATTTCTGCCTGTCTATACGGGAAAGATACGCTTAAATAGCTATCAAACGACGGGACGAGATGCAAACTGTGGTAGGGGGCTTTCGTAATGTAGACTATAGCATCGAAGACGGCGCTTAGTAAATATTGCCGAATATTGAATATATCTACATTTTGTACCTGCGACGCGATCTGTTCAGTGGGCAGTCGGTCTAAAAACCCTGGTGCTTAATCTAGATATCCCATGCTAGTGATCAATTCCAGTAGGAAATACTTAACATTAGCCGCCGTGGCCCGCGTTCTCCAAAAGACGCAGAATTTGGCCATTTTACGTTGTTGCATGTTGTCTTACGGAGAACAGTTATTAAATATACAAAGATTTAAAACGCACGTGAAAAACGTGCGTTTTATGTTTCAGACGAATTAAACTGTTTTTCGCGTACACCCGGGGATATAGTCTTAATTTTCCTAGAAGTACTGATCACGATTGTAAGATTCTTGAGAGACCAATGAAACATTAAGGTGTTGTAATCGAGTCATAGCGAAATTCTTAACAAACGTTTTAGCTGTTTGCTGTCTCCGCAAAAGAAGAGCTTAGAGACGTGTTGTCAATGCGGAAGAATGCAAAAAAGAAGTTCAACCTCCTTGTCCAGTATTTCGGAGAGGATTCCAACAAACCTGAAGAGTTCTTTGGTATTTTTGCCACATTGCTACACCAATTTGAGGTAAATTGTACGTTGTGTATTCAATTTAAAATAGGCAATGTCGTTTCCTGGCAACATGAATCGTCTCACGACTTTCTTCTTTTCGAAAATTCATATCAAGTTGTCAGTTAATTTAACTGGAACTGAAGCTAGCAGTAGAGGCTATTAATCCGACCATCAACAGTTTGCCAAGGCGTGTTTACGTCAGTACCAAAAAGACTAATCAAGTGGAAGATATATCTGAATACTGTTTTACCCGTGACTAAATATTTATTCATTTGTTGTTTTAGGATGTGTTGAGGACATACAAGTGAAGAAACGAGTTTTAAATGAAGAGATCAGGCAATGGACGTTAATTATATTAAAACGCGGACTGTAATTTTTTCTAACCTGAAACTTGAAATTGAGCAGTTGGTTTAAAATCGGGTTAGACCCAACAGCTCTATCTCTCTCAAAAACCATTCACGATGCCATCTTCGATTTTGAAATATAACAATATTTTTATTATTCCTTACGTACGCATGACATATTTTGACACGTAATAAAAGAAGCAACTATTTTATTCTATAAGATGAAACGATATTTATGGCCAAGAAGTCAACATTCAAAGATTGTTAATTTTGTAAATACGTTGAAAATAAAGGCCGAGCTACTATAAGAGGACTTTGCACGTCATGTCTCTCCTTATAAATAAATCAGTTTGAATTTCAGGCGTGCTAAGAGTACGGACCATTAAACGTTTTTGGGTGAATTGCCCACCCCCCTAACACTGACCCACCCCCTCTCAAAAAATAATGATCCGTCCCTAAATCTAAATCCAAAGGCTAGCTCGTGTTTCACAAGTGATAGCATACGCTCCTTTTGGTGAACACCAAGAATCGCGACCTCTAAAAAGGTAAAGTCTGCATGCGAGCCAAGTGGCCCATCAGGCCGGAGCTTATCCCGGTTTCTGTAGCATGAAGCGACTAGGAGTATTTCTACTCCCCCCTGGATGGGATGCTAGTCCATCGCAGGGTTACCCCCAGCATTAAGTTCACAGGTACCCATTTATACACCTGGGTGGAGAGAGGCACTGTGAGAGTAAAGTGTCTTGCCCAAGAACACAAAACAATGAACCCGGCCAGGGCTCGAACCCGGACCGCTCGATCCGGAGACGAGCGCACTAACCATGAGGCCACCGCGCCCTCATCCCATCGCGACCTCTGGGAAGGTCAAATTTTCTGAGGACCAGATTTGTCAGACTTGACTCTGGGCATGCACAGAGTGAAGGGAAGTCCGTGAATCGCGGACTTCCGGTTTTGGACTAGGCCAGAGGTCGCGGTTCTTCAGCTAGTGGAGTCGCGTAGCTCATACTCAATTGGTTTAGGACGAAAGACTTCCACGAGCGATTCCTAAGCGTCAAACGTCTAAGCACGCATTGACTGGATATAAATAAACATCAAAGCATGCAATTGTGCGTTTGCACTTTGCACTGTTTCGGAAAAAATTCTATTCATAGACAAAGAGGCAGATAAACGGACGTTCGATGCAAGAATCGAATGGCGACTTCTCACGAGAGATAGGCGTTACAACAAAAGTTACAACTACGAGGAAACTACGATTTGATAATAGTTTAAATTAATCTCTCAAAACCCGGTTTTTTTATGGCGCTTGGAAACGATTGAAAAGTGAAGTTACGAAAACTAAGCGTGGAAAACAATGGCAGTGAAAGCAACATGAACGTGTTGTAAAACATGAGGTGAAAAATTGTGCCTTCTACAAATCATCAAATGGTGATTGGTTAATTTAAGACAAACAATGATAAGCTCACCAATAAGTCTTTCTTTTTCGCACCATGCAAAATAACGAGCCTGGACGAGATTCACGAAGGAATGAAACAAACCACATCGCCGCATATTAATGTTTTTTTTTTCCCGTCAAAAGTATTTGTAACGGTGATTGATCACACTTAAAGAAAGCACAAAGAACAGCCAATCACAAATGTTATAGAAGTGTTAAAAAATTAGTTGACATAGCATCAGCCAATCATGAGCTTGCATTTTCTCCGTGCAGAAGTCGCAGAAGTGAGAACTTGTTTTCCTGCACAATCACACGTGAGATGGCACCATATATAACTTTGACAAACAATTTCTTCTTTCACAACACCAAGAAATCTTGTCCCCGCGTTAGCTCTTCCATCAAAATCTATCGAACCGCAACGAAGAGTTTGTTGACTTGAAAGAAATGGCTCGCACCAAACAAACCGCCCGTAAGTCAACCGGAGGAAAAGCTCCTCGAAAACAGCTAGCGACCAAAGCGGCGCGAAAGAGCGCTCCCGCAACCGGCGGCGTCAAGAAACCTCACCGTTACAGGCCAGGAACCGTCGCACTGCGAGAAATCCGACGCTATCAGAAGTCGACGGAGCTGCTGATCCGTAAGCTGCCTTTCCAGCGCTTAATCCGCGAGATAGCACAAGATTTCAAGACGGACTTGCGTTTCCAGAGCTCTGCCGTTCTAGCGTTACAAGAAGCCGCCGAAGCCTACCTCGTGGGTCTGTTTGAAGACACCAATCTTTGTGCAATTCACGCTAAGCGAGTTACCATCATGCCCAAAGACATTCAACTTGCGAGACGAATCCGCGGGGAGCGTGCTTAAATGATAAAGATATCTTGGTACTTACTTATTTTGTTTTGAGACTGTGTTGCTTTGTATATAGTTTACAGATTTGAATTCGTAACTAGATCAACTGTAACAAACTTACCCGGAATTTCCAAACGCGTGTACTGAACCAACTGAATGAACTGCAAGATGTGCATGGAATTGTTTGCTTTCGTATATAATCGACGGAACATGTAAGATACAAAGGGCGTTTGTAAATATATATTGTAAATTTAGCACAGAATTTTTCAGTTGTAAGAACATAGCGGGGTCAAGGAGTTATTTTTACATTTTCGTTATACAACACAAGCTAATTAAATATTTGTACGTCCCTATTTGTCTTGTCTATATTCAATCACGTTGATTGCTGGTTACACTTTACGCCTGCTTCACGCCTGTCGCTGTTTCATGCACTTTCGTCTGGATATTTCTCTTGAAATGTTATTCTACTAAAAATGGTTAGCAGCAAAGGTTGGTTTTGAAAAAATAAAACAGTCGTTCCTCCTTTGCAGCAAGGTGCTAAAAACGATCGTGACAAACACCCCACACGAGTACATACGAGTAACACAGGAGTGCATACAGACACATAGGTACGTGTCAGTCGTATGTACTCGTATGCTACTCGTATGTTTCTCGTATGTTCTCGTATGTACTCGCATGTACTCGTATGTTGCTCGTATGTACTCGCATGTACTCGTATGTACTCGTATGCTACTCGTATGTACTCGTATGTTACTCGTATGAACTCGTATGGTGTTCTAGTCACGATCGCTAAAAACAAGCCAAGGAAGTTTGAGGACCTTTAAGGGGTTTTCAGGATTCGAGATATTTAGATTTTTGGGGAAACTAATGGGCTGTCGGATATTTTAGAACAGATATCTCGGGATATCGAGAGGGAAAATTGCTAACTGTTGACACTGGAGTTAACAAGATAGGTGATATTTGCGCCGAGATATTAACGGGATATGGGCTGCTCAGACCTCTCCTCACTGGGCCTCAAGTTACCAGTTCGAAATTACATAGGAATGAAAACAATTCTTACTTGCAAACTTAAGTCTCGTATGTTTTTGGGACTGATTTTTCGAGCAGACAGTTCATAGACAGAACGATTTTCACATTTTTCCGTTTCTTTTCACTGGTTTGAGATACAATAAGCTTTCCTAATCGCAAAGGCAACCATATTTAACGTACGAAAGGCGAGTCAGCATCACCTGCCTAACGTTGAGCTGTGTTAAAAGTTGGAACAATAACAAAATAATCCCGAACTCTCTTAAGAAAGGTATCATAAAATTCATCCAAAAATGAACAGTGCGCCGGCCCGAAACGAAAGTCCAAAGAATCAATATTCGATGTTGCGAATATCCACTTCTCACAAACAAACTTAAACATTTTTACGAAATGTAATTTAGTAATATTTTGCTAATTTCACTGGAGTATGTTCATTATATATGATTCGTGTTAACTGTAGAAATATTTTAGGCGTGCTTGCAAGCCGCAGGTATGAATCCCTAATGGTTTGAAGGCTTTTTAAGATTTTGTAAGTTATTCTAAAGCCAGTGGAAGGCATCTCCTTTGCTTTTCATTTTTTTTTTTGTTTATTCGCCGTAGTACTTTCTGTATGATGATGTAACGCTCGCTGTATCCTTTATCAATAAACGAGATGCCCGCTCCTGAAGCTGTATTTGTGTTTATTAAGATTAGTTCCAAAATAATTTATAATCTTTTCAGCTTGATTAGAGTACAAAACTGTTAAACGATTATGGCACAAGGAGCCGAAGCTTGAGCAACGAACAAATTTATTACATCAGGATTGCACTGTACAAACACCTCTTTACATTTTCAACACAGGGGAGCGTTCACTTAGTTCTTTTTTTTTTTTTAAATTGAAACAAGTGTACAAGCGGAACAGATACATGTCAATACTGTGGAAATATTACAATACACCCGAAAATGTCCCGCGTACTTTTTAAATAATTTTTTTCGTCTGTTTATAAAATAAGGCAATAAAAATAAATCAATAAATCAGACAATAGATTAATTTTTACACGTTTTTCAAACCAACGCGTCCTGAAGGTCATATTATTAGCTCTTGTTTTTGCTCTTCCACATTTGCAGTATCGTGAAGTTTCCTCGTAGCTGCCGCTAAAAGGAAAACTCTGAAGTGCGTTTGAAAACTGTCTTGACCGACGATACTCAAATAAAACCCAATGTGTTTCTTTACAGCTTGTTTAATCCAAAACGTTCTCACTCAGTAACCACGACTGACAAGGTCTGTTGGAAAACAAAATAAAGACAATGCTCGATCAGTCAATCAATCATTCTTTGGACTGATTGGTCGGTAAATAAGAGACTATACACCTTTTGCTGTTCATTTACAGAAAATAAACATTCATTTGTGCCCAAGTTTCTTTCATTATGATCATTAAACTCTCATTAACACCAATATGACCTTCATTTGCGCGTAAGGAACGTTCAAGAAAAACATTTACATATGCATT